CCTAACTAGAAACTCATCCCTTTGCAAATGGGAATAATACTCTCCTGGGTTGTTTTGAATGAACAATTAGACCAAAATCTATCTCAGTGGCTAGTCTTAGGAATTTAGAATCTTGTAGTGGAAATACTGTGACAGGAAAAAGAATAATTAACCTGTGGTCCCCACATATGTCACACAAATAATCATGTACCTGAGGGCCTGGGGACACTTTCCTGTGAATACTACAGGATTTAGAGAAATGGTTCAAAAGACAGAGGAGGAGGCATTGGACAGTCAGATAGGAAAGGGACTTGGCAAAGACTAATCCTGGGAACACCGAGCGGTACTCGGATCATATCTGAACCCTCTTGGGACTCCCCTTAGATTAGAGTATAATGGACCCTGCAAAATACTTCTCAAGTGAGTGGATGAGAGGGAGTTATAGTGATAGCACCCAGATCAGCCGAGTTCCCCCATCATACAAAGCTCCAGGGCAGCAAATAGGAGACAGAGTGATATACATGGCCCTGCTGAGCACTCTCAGCATGGCCTCCGTGGTTATACTAACCTGGAGTGACAGTACCCGTCAGTGGTCGCACCACAGGCCCTCCTGTGGATGCCTAAAGCCACAGAGCGCAGATTCTAAGCACACTGCTCATCTAACAAAGGAACTCATGACTCCATGAACCAGCAGTCCTTGGCCATGTGCTCTGACCGCTAAGCACCCAGTGGCCCTTTGGGATTTAAAAAGTATTCTGTTGTGTGTAGATCAGAAATAGTATTATAATGAGAACAATCTAATATTTGGTTCTGTTGAATTTCCCTTCTCTTTTGAGACTCAAAATAACTTCAGATTATTAAGCTTTCTGCAGGTAGTGAAGGTCAGGTCCATTAGCTTTAAGTTTTGTTGCTTTTTTAGCACTGACCATTAGCCCTCTGAGCACCTGGGTAGCTTAGGGCGCATGTAGTTTGCTGAAAGTTGGGAAATCAGAGTTAGAGTTCCTTAGGAAAGTGCCATCAAGACTGTGCCAATTATAATGGGATCCTGCAAATGTCTCCACCATGAGGTACGTCAGGGTGTACTGGGCAGCAGGCCTGCTTGCTCATGAAGTCCTGGGTTCTGGCAGGCCAGTCCGTATCATCCTTGCTGCCTGAAAAGATGAGAGAATATATTTGTGAAACAGACCGGAAAAGCCCCATGGGTAAGGGCACCCTCTCCGTCTCAGAACTGTCCTTGGCCCTTTTCTGCAGAAGGGGCTGCTTCTAGTTGTGTGTATCTGCTTTTTTCCTGATGACTATTCCACCGGGAGTCACCGCTGCCCACACCCATGGTGAGTCCCTCCCAGGGTGTGTCCATACATTCTTCATCTTGCCCTTTGGACGGGCCCAGTTGCTCCTTTCACAGTGAGTTCTGGAGGGGGGGGGGAAGCCCTATCCTTCTATATTAGCTCAGTGTGCATCCTCGTTGCAAATTCTCCTCAGTGTCTCCCTTTCTCAGTGGCTTACTTTGTTCCCCTAACTCCATACCTCTCTGCCCACCAGAACAAACTTCCAGGAGCCCTGGAATCTGTGTGTGTGCCCTGAAGTCTGCAACAAGCCTGCTACCTCCTCAGTATGGTATATTTTTAGAATCACTGAATAATTAGGGGCTGGTCACATTGCTTTTCTCATTTAACTGCCCAAAGAAGGTTCAAGAAGAGTCTATCAGAGGGAATAGTCGGTGGTCTCCTGTGTCAGGAATCACAAAAAGATGAATCAGAAAAAATTGTCAATGGTCAGAAAATATTCCTCAGCCCCATCCTGGGCAGGGTGGTATCAGGGCTATCAAATGGCTCGGGGTTAGAGCACTTGCCTGACATGCCTGAGGCCCTCGTTACCACCCCAGTACCAAAGAAATGGGAAACTCATTTGAGGGAAGAGCTGTAAGTACTGGAGAAGACAGAAACAACAATACCTAGGTTTGAGAAGGAGGAGGAGCTGAGGACCACGGTCAGCAGTTTCTGGGAGTTTCATCAAACGAGACTGTAAAGGTCAGCATGCCTAGGCTTGGGGGTAAGGGACAGCTATGTGATGTGTGTGAGCTCTCCTCATGGTCAGCAACTTCGTTGAAGCCTTACCTGATATCTCAGGGGGACAGTATTGTTTTGCAATTCCAATAGAGGTGCCATAAGGAATCGATGCAGGCAAGTTAGAGGACCTTGAGTATTGGTCCTCGCCTGCCACCTTGTTTAAAGCACGATCACTGTCTTTCTCCTGAGTACATCAGACTGCCTCACCCACAGGCTCCAGGGGCTTCTCTCGTCTCTGCCTCCCTTCTTGCCATGGGAGTGCTGGGATTATAGACAAACTGCAGCTCACTGTGGGTGCTGGGGATCTGACCCGAGGGCCTCAAACTTTGTAAGCACTTTTCCCACTGGGCAATCTCCCCAGTGCTCTGTCTCTTCTCCTTTGCCTCGATTTATCCTAGAGTCTTTTCTAATTAACGTGGGCGCTCTCCAGAGAATGGCCTCTTCTTAAGGGAGCTGGTCGCAGCCTGTCATTGCAGCACCTAGCTGTGTATGTCTGAGAATGAACTTGAGGCCCCAAGGTCCTCATGGAGGGGTGCTCTGACACAGAATAGAAGGCCTGCACTAGTCATTGGCCAAGCTGCCTTCTTTGCAAAGGACTGCCTTCAGCACCTTCTGTAATGTACTCGTCTCCTCCACACCAAGCCTTTCAAACTCAAAGATGTTACACTCTGGAGCCTTTCTGCATTATTTTGATACTGGCAACAATCTGTCTGCCAAGGAAACTTACAAAGATTCCAAAAGGAACTTTGTTACAGCCCTGTTCCTCAATTTATCTTCTGGTCTGGCAGAGCAGGACTTGCCTTCGTTTGTTTATCAGTGGTTTGAATTATATGCCAGTTAACCTGAAAGTGATAAAAGAGGGATGGGGCAAGGGGCAGAGGAATTAGTGGTGTCATCAGCCTGGCTGCATGAACCCTCAGCACCCAAAAATATTGCCAAACTCAGTCATGAGGTGGGAATTTCTCTGCCATATTTAGGAAGATGTAGCTGCTTGTGTTGACCTGGCCAATTGATTGAGATCCAATTATAATGTCATCCTGTAAATGTCTCCACGGGGAAGTATGCCTGGGTGTGCTGAACAGTAGGCTTGCTTCCTCACTAAGTCATAAAACCTGGCTCTCTGGCAGGCCAGGCCTCATCGTCTTCAATAGCTGGAGAAATCAGAAAATGCATATTAAGAGAGAATAATATACTTTGTGTTGGGATAACTGTATTAGTCTGTTTTCTGTTTCTATCACAAATTTTTCATAGCTCATAGTATATAAAAAAGTTTATTCAGCCTATAGTTTACGGTTTGATCAAAGGCATGGTGCTGACATCTCTGACACCCTAATGGGGGGGGGTCTCATGGCAAAAGCCATCCCAGTGGCAAAGGGCATGCAAGAGGAAGCAGTCATGTGCCAAGATGAGAATGATTCAGAAGCCAAGCTTATCCTTTTTATGCCTTGTTCTAAGTGGGAATTAGTCAGGGTCTCTCAAGAGCTACATCCCTTCTGGTGGTAGCGCCCCACCTTCCAGGAGACACCACCTGTGAGAGGCCCCTCACCTCTCAGCAACAGATCACCAGAGCAACTCTTCTAGTATATGACCCCTGGGAGACCCTCTAAGACATGCCCATAACATTGTCTGCTGTGGGAAAAGTCCCCAGTTCTCTGTGACTCACAAGAAGTGTGTTTCCATCTCAGAGGGCATGCAGGGGCTCTAGGCTTCTCTCTCTCTAGGAGTCAGGATCAGGTACCACATCTAGCTCCTCCAGGTCCCGGTCATTTGAGTAAAAGGGAAAGAAAGATTTAGGGGAGGAATAGTCAGCTCAGTACCGCAGACCCGACATCACTTCCACTCACAATGCATTGCTAAGAATTAGTTACAAGGTCCACTCTGGTACCAAGTGCCTGGGCACCTCCTCTAGACCCCAGAAGGGGGCCAGCACTCTGTGGATGACCCCACCACACCCTTTGTAGCCCTCGAATTTATCAACAAGACCAAGACCTGTGTTTCTGGACTGCTTCCATTTGCTTGTAACTGTGCCAGGGAAAGACCAGGGCTCCGTTTTCATAAGCCTAAATGCCAATACCAACATAATCTATAGTGGGACACACCATAAAGCCCCTGGATGCTCAGAGCCAATAGCCACCTTCATGTGTCTCATTTTCCTTTCTGCATGTACCAAGGAAGACATTACTATCTGTCTTTGCTATAAAGTCTAGGCCCTAAGACTTCATTTCCTACAACATAACCTCTGTGATGGTTTGATTGAGAATGGTCTTAATGGCTCCTAAGTTTTCCTACTTGGTCCTCAGTGGGTGGAACTATTTGGGAAGGATTAGAAGGTGTGGCCTCATTAAAAGCGGTAAGTCACTGGAGGGAGGCGTTGAGGTTTCAAAACACTCTTGCCATTCCCGGTCTATCCGGTCTATCCTCGTCTCTCTGTGTCTCTCTCTCACTCTCACTCCCCCTTCCTCTCCCTTTCCCTCTCCCTCTTTATTTCTCTGACTCCTGCTTGTGGATCCAGAAGTGAGCGCTCAGCTGTTCCTGCCACCATACCTCTGCTCTATCATCACGGACTCTAACCCTCTGAAGCCATAGCCCAATTAAATTATTTCCTTTATAGGTTGCCTTAATCATAGATTCTGTAACAGCAATAAAAAAGTAACTAATACAGCCTCGCTGAAGAACTGTTCACAGCACTGTGGTGTGACTCCTGTACAAAGCTATTGATGTGAAACTGTCAAAAGAACACTTCTTTTTTTGACAAAGCTCTTCTTTCTCGCCATATGGGGATGAACACCAGGACTATCTGGCAGGACTTGATTTGACTGTGTTTTAGCAAACCCTGTTCATTGAAATAGCTGTAAGCAGCTGTACATTGCTGCCACCCGGTGTCATAGATCGAAGCACCTGAAGGCCAGGAAGGCCACGCCTGTGTGACTCACGGGGGCCTTTCTTTCTCAGGTTCCCATTCCCCATGGTGTTCAGCAGCTGTAGCAGGAAGGACCTGGAGGCTAGCCTGGAGAAGGGAATGGGGATGTGCCTCTTCAACCTACCGGAGGTCAAGCAGGCCTTTGGGGGCCGGAAGTGTGGAAATGGCTATGTGGAAGAGGGAGAAGAGTGTGACTGCGGGGAACCAGAGGTAAGGGGACTGTCTCCATGGTGCCTGCCTTTCCTTCTGACCGGAAGGATGGGAAAGCTTGGGTGAGGTCAGGCAGCAAAATGAACATGCTAAAAACTGGTACTAGGAGGCTTCAGAGATGGCCCACTTGGTAAAGGGTTTGCCATGCAACCAGGAGAACCTGAGTTCCTAAAACCTACATGGAAAAGCTGGGTGTGATGGTGTGTGCCCGCAATCCCAGCACTGCAGATAGGCAGAGATAGGCAGATCTCTGAAATATACTAGCCAGTCAACCTAGAGGTCCCAGTGAGAGACCCCACTCCAAAAAAGCAAATCAGAACCTGAGAAATGATACTTGAAGTTGACACACACCTCAAACCGTACACACACACACACAAACACACAAACCACACACACAGGTGGGGGAGGGAAAGAGAGAAATGAGTTTGTAATGAAGATACCGGTGTAATAGAGATTCTGTGGGAAAGTTTCTATGGCCACATTAAACAGGTGCCCATAGTGGGTGGCTTTCTGGAATGTTAGCCATGTACAGCGTTGGATGTATCAATTGGTGTTCATGGGTGAGTGCCTTCACTATTGAAGGGTGAGCTTTCCGTCTAGCTGAGATTGTTCTGATGTCTCCTCTGTGTGCACAGCTGAGGCGCCAGACATTCTGGCCGATCAGTTCGTCAGTTCTCAAGCAGCTAGCATTTGCAACCAGCACCAGGCTCAGTGAGCCCTGCTTTCCAGCCACTCTCTGGGAAGTTTCTTATTTGGATAGGCCCATGATGAAGCTGCTCAACATAAAACATGTAAGTTATTTTTCGCTCTCTTAGTCTTGAGAGAGAATGGCAAAGGGAACACTGCCACTCCCAACATAGCACATGCCCCACACAGCTTGGAGGAGATTGTATTCAGAATAAATCAGAACTAAGGGTTTGCAGAGTGGGTAGACTTGCCTCCTTCCAAGAGGGCATATGCAAGCCAGATGGGAGACAGGTATGAGGTGGGCTTAGCCAGGTCCACAGGTGGGCTAAACAAGTCTCAGAAGACACTATCTCAGAGGGCTCCTTTAGAAAGAAGGCCCCCAGAAACAAGGGATACTGGGCAGGAAGCCAGAGCATCTCATATATTTCAGTGTTCATCTCGGGAGTAATCTTCATGTGAGCCTGTCTCTGGGTCCCTGAGGAGGTCTCATGCCAGCAAGGATGCTCTTGCTCTCAAGAGTTCGGAGGGAAAACGTGCAGCTCGGGGGGTGGGGGCTTCAGGGGTCATCAGATGGCATGAGGCAGATAGAGGTTGTTTCGTGTCCTTGAAAAACTCAGAACTTATCCATGATAAACTGGCCTTGTCCACAGCGGTGGTTAAGTTTACTCACAGTGAGCAGGGAACATTTGCTGACTAGGAGCAAGTCCTAATTATAGTGTTACACAATAGTTTCAGGATTAACAGAGGGAAAAGTGAAGCCATCATGGGATAGCATGTACAAAGGAGAAAAGTTCCTTGGAGGCCTTGTTAATTGCTTAAAGAAACAACCCAATTAGTTTAAATTACTCACATTTCTCAGGAGAGGCCATGTTGACTTAAGATGGTTTGCCTTTGATCTGAGTGCCTTATAATTATTTATTAATGCAAATAAATCTGATGGCCCTTCATGGAATCATGAATGCTAAAGTTTGGAATGACTCCATTGGCAGCCATTCACCCCATCTGCCCCCATTACCATCTACTGCTGTCACTGTGTCCACAGCTGTCATCACTGCCCCTCCAACATCGTCATCATCACCATCCTCTTCACACCACCATGTTCTCTACACCACCACCTCACCCTGCCATTCCCACCATTAACTGCTGTCTCCACAGCTGCCATCACTACCTTCAGCTATCACCACCACCCTCACCACCACTGCCATACCAGTGTCCCCACCACAATCACCACTATTGCTGTCACCACATCCTGACCAGCGTTACCAGCATCCTCACCACCATCTCCAGCACAGCTGTCACCACCAGCACCACCATATCAGCAGATTCCTGAGTTCCTATTGCAGCTACTCAGGTTTTGTTTCTCCGTCGTCTCCTACAAAGGAATCCTACAGCCATAGCTGGATGCCTGATCTCTCTTCAGGGCCCAGTCTACACTGTGAGGCAGAGTTGATTATGACAAACTCCTCATTAGATAAAGCCGAATTCTGCTTGCAACTTGGTATATCAAAAGGTTTCTTGATAGTTTAAGAAAACTCCCTTTCCCTTACCTAAAGCTCTTTCTCCCCTACCCCCCCCCAAAAAAATCTGTTAGCATCACAGTGAACCCTTTGCCTCACTTGTTAGTATCATTTTCTTATATTTTCTGTTTCATGTCCAGGTTCAGGTGTCAATTGTGCCTAGTCACGTGTCCTAGTTCCATTCTGCTGTTGCTGTGAGAAAACACTGACCAATAAAAACTCAGAGCAGAAAGCATTTCCTTGGCTTACACTTCCAGGTCACAGTCCATCACTGAGGAAAGTTGGGGCAGGAACTCATGCAAGAACTTGAAACAGAAGCCATGAAGGAACAATCCTTGTTGGCTCACTCTCAGGCCCATGCTCAGACAGCTTAATTTTCCAGCCCAGAACCACCTGCCCAGGGATTGGCACTGTCCACAGTGAGCTAAATCAATTAACTAAATCAATTAAATCCTAAATCAATTAACAGTCAAGACAATCCCCCACAGATGTGCCCACAAGCCCCGTGACTGAAACTCCCTTCTCAGATGACTCCAGGCTGTGTCACGTTGCCAGTTCAAGCAGATGAGGACGCCAAACTTCATTGCTCAAGACTTTCAGTCAAACCTATTACCAGGACTCTTCTTTTTGGTTCTCTGCGCTCAGGCTCTGCAGACACTTCTCCTGCTGTTCATCACACCAAGCCATGCATCCTCCCCTCGTCCAAGGAGGGACTTAGTATGTCACACCAAGGAAGCAGGGAATGACAGGTCAGAGTGATGTACACCAGCACATAGCTAGAACAAGCCTGTGCTCCCTCGGTCTCAGAAGTAAGCCCCATCATTTTTTTTTTAATTTTTATTTTTTCATTTTTTGGAAAGTGCACTGCGGCTTTACCCCAGCCCATGGTGACTAAGATTCCCCATCTGTTTCCCACAGCCCAAGAATGACCATTTGGTCCTCACAAAGGGTTCTATGATAGCGTCATTATTCTTTCTTATTCAGAGACCTGGCATTCATTTGCTCTGTTGCTCCTCTGCTGACTACTAAAATAGCAAATGCATCAGTGCACAAGGAATTTGTCTCTTTCTGAGAAATACAGTAGTACAGAAGACATAAATTTGGAATAGTTAAAAGTTGTTGCTACCTTGCGGTAGAAGGCATTAAGGATATCCTGACGACTCATTCACTCTCCCACCTAACAAGGCTGGGAATGCTGCCCCATCTCACTTGAAGTCAAGAGGATGCCAGTCCCTCACACGTCTTTTAAACTTCATTATCTTTCCATGTGATTGATCCCCTTTGAAGTCATTCCACTTGGATACGTTCCCATTGGAGTTGCTGCTTACATTTCTAGTGATTTGAGGGGAGACAGGAGGAGGCCTCAGAACTATTTTAGACCCAGATATCAGATTGCTGTTTTAACTCAGTATTGCAAGGAAATCTCTGACTCAGCTAATATAACATTAGGGAAGTCATTGAGACCGCAGCGAGCAGTAACAGCGCTGCTGCGAGTTCAATGGCACTGGTCCAGGATGCAATTAATGGGATCCTTAAGGGGAAGAAAGTTTCTAAACTTGTATAGAGTTGTAAGCCCATAAGCTAAAACTCCTCACTGTCATGAAAGTCACCGCAATGACTTCTGGTTGGCAGTTTTATCTTACTGTGTACATTACATGTCCCGGATGTTTATAAAGTCCTCAAACAGATTTAAAACTTAACAACTTTGGAAGTACGCATGGTAGAAGCAAACATAAACACTGTGTGAGGGATCAGTTCATGGAGCTTTTCAGGGGGTGCCAGACAGGTATCTGGGGATGGCCTAAATCTTTCCAATCACTGGATAATCCATTCATTGATCTATGATACCAATGTGGACTTCATTCACAAGAGACAATTTTCAGAAGTAACCTCTTATGCTGTTACACATGGGTATGGTTAGCTTCATGCAGGCTGGCCAGGAGGGAGCCCTTCAGAGCACATCACAAATAAAAGAGTCTCAAGGACTTGGGCAGCATTGAACATTCTGCGACATTTTCTTTTCAATTGCACAAATTCCAAGCTATCGGGATGCTCTGAAGCTCATGGATTCCAGAGATTTGCTACACAAATGGGTGCAGGCCTTCTGCTAAAGCGGGCAAAGGGTGTCAATCATGTCTCCCTTTCTCCATGTCCTTGCATGGTGCACCATCTACTAAAGCAGTTGAATTTCTTCCTCACTTTTGTTCCAGAGAGGAAGATACAGCTCACTTTTTTATCTGTTTATATCCTTTAAAAACAGGCATCTCCAGACAGGTGTGGTTAGCATAAGACTACAATCCCAACAGTAAGAAGGTAGAAGCGGGAGGTTGGCCCATCACAGGTTGGGGGCCAGCCTGTCTTCAGTAAGAGTGCCAGGCCAGCCAGGGCCACAGAGAGAGACCTTCTCTCCCAAACAAAAAAGAAGGCTGATGATAGAGCCCAGTTGAGAGAGTGCTTGCCTGGTATCTATGAGTCCCTGGTGGGAAGGAACAAAAGAGGGAAGCAAGGAAGGAAGATGGGAAAGGAGGAGGGAAAGGAAATGAAATGAGAACTCTTAGCCCCAACATACTTTAGTCTCATTCCAATGTCCAGTCCTCTCCCTAGAATGTCCTGGGCCAAGGCCCTACCCTTGCTATACAAGGGTTTCTTCCTCACCCACCTGGCTAGACTGAAAGGAACTGGCTTCATTTTTTCTTCCTGTCACTTCATCTGCATACTCCAAATCAAAAGTAGACCAGCCCCACTTTTTAACAAATATGCTATACAAGTGCTGTACCACTGAGTTGTATCCCTACCTATCTCTATCAGAAAGCTTCATTCCAGAAGGGTAAGGGCCCCATCTATGCATGTATTTCTAAATGAGCAATATCCAAGTCCTTCAATGATTCTGGCACAGCTCACTTCAACATGCCCCATAGGAAGAATCCTTGGAAGCTCCAATGTGCTGCAGCCCTGCCCCCAGGCCTCCTCCCATGAAGGGTTCTTGAGTACCCCTTGACTTCTCCCAGTAACACCAGATGCTGTGATTCACAAACACTTAACAAAACCTTGCTCTTATGCCAAGGAAAACAGTTCTGGGACAGGTTTTCAGCTCCAGATCTAGGCCGCCTTATCCTTTGCTGTCATTTGGGGTGTGACATTTGTATTCTGAGAGACACGACTTTCATATGACCCTTCAAATGGATGCCACTCCCCTCCTCAGGAATGTACCAATCGCTGCTGTAATGCCACCACCTGCACTCTGAAGCCAGACGCTGTGTGCGCGCACGGGCAGTGCTGTGAAGACTGCCAGGTGAGTTAGCTTGGCCTGCGGTGGCTGGCTGGTCTGACTGGCTCCACTCCGACGGAAGTAGGGCAGTACCGTGGGCTGATTCCCCAAGCTCATTCTGGGAAGCTGCCCTTTCACTGCTCAGTACCATCTAGCTGTGCTGATAATCTTCTGATCTGGTAAAATGGACATTTTTATTGCTGATTCTCTGTGATGAATTGTCTGTGGGCTAAAAACTAATAGGACTGAGAAACCTGAGCTCAGCCTTAATGTGCCATTTATGCTGATGGGGTCCTAGCTCCCTGAGGAGAACAAGGAGAGGAAAACCAGGCCCTACCCCTATCACTCAACCTCATGCCAGGTCCACTTTCCAGAAACCAATGTCTGGCAGGTAGCAGAAAACCCATGCTGGTGGTTCCTGGAATATCTGTACCAGCAGAAAGGGCAGGCCACTCTGAGCTGCCAGAGTGGCAGTTTCCTGACTTGCTATTTGTGCTGCTACGACCGCTCTTGCTTGGGCATTTCCACTGTTCATCCTGTTTATTCAGAATGCATGTCAAATGAAAGAGGCCTGAGTGTTAGAGGATCCCAAGATAGACTTTTATGCCTTGATTCTTAAGCAGTGAATCTTGGCACAAAGACCGCAGGAAATTCCCTGTTATCCGCTCCACCCACACACATCATTTAGAAGTGCATTATAATGATATATGTTTGGCCCCTCCTGATGCTCACTAAGTTCTGGAGAATGGTGGAAGAAGTTAGAATCCCCAGGTACTCAGTTACGAGTACAGGAAAGTGCCAGGAAGGGGGTGAGGGGAGGTGAGGGCAGCTGAGCCTTCACTGAGTAAGGCTCAAGATGGAGGAGAGACAAGAGGTGATGCCCAGCTATCATCTATGTTTATAGCTTCCAATCGATCCCTTCCAAACTTCAGACCTTTCAGGAGTTGGCAGGGGATTTACCTTGCATCTTTGGGAGTAGGCAGACCAACCAAGCCAGGGCCTCTGTGGCCTTGACTTTGCAGTTCAGACAAACCACCCTGAACCTTAATGTCTTCAGCCCCCAAAAATGAGATGCTGGTCAGAGATCTCACAGCCCTCACTGGCAGCCACTCCCGCTGCCACTGCCACCTCCTGGTCCTCATTCTCATCCTCCCCTCTACCTTTTCACTCCCCCAACTGAGATTTCCCCATAAAGTGATAACCAGAGCCCCAACCCTCTTTAATCAGATGACAGCATAGCATTGCTATTGAGATTCTGATCTTGCTGATTTTGCTCCTGTTCCCCTCCCCCCAAATGCCTAAGGATATGGATGAGTGTCAACTTAAATATATATATAAAGCTTATGATGGTGTCAGCAACCTGAGAAAAGTCCACCTCTTCAACAAAAGGCTCAGTAAGAGCCAGCTTGTTCACTCCTTGGAGAACCCTAGTGTTACTTGCTGTTCCCACCCAGCCTTATAGCACAAATGTAAACCATAGAAAACCATTTCCAAAGTGCTCTCTGCCATCAGAGGGGGTGGCCTTGTACCTCCACCTGTTTATGTGACAGTAGAAGGTAGCCTGCTGTCCTCTGCCCCAAGAGAGCTACCGAGGTCTGCTTCCTCACACTTGGTACATGTGCTAAAAGCCACCTTGTCATTTCAGCTAAAGCCTCCAGGAACCGCATGCAGGGACTCCAGCAACTCCTGTGACCTCCCAGAATTCTGCACGGGGACTGCCCCTCACTGCCCGGCCAATGTGTACCTACATGATGGGCACCCGTGTCAGGGAGTGGACGGTTACTGCTACAACGGCATCTGCCAGACCCACGAGCAGCAGTGTGTCACTCTCTGGGGACCAGGTGCGTGGCCGCTCCCAGCTCCGGGAGGGACACTGGGGAAGTCTGCTCTACGTGCGTGAGTCTGCCTTTGCTCCTTCATCCATGCAAACCCATTCTGCTCTACAAAGAAACTTAAACTCTGCACCCACAGGAGGCATGGCTAGGATTTAAGCTTGGTTACCGTGACCCAGCATATGGGTGTAACTCCCATGAGCAAATGAAGCCTTGATCTAAAGTCCCATTAAGGTTCTAAAAAAATAGGTTAAAGTCTCCCCCTCCTCCCCACAAAAAAAGGAAGAACCAGGGCCCTTCTGTATGTCTCCTCCAGGACTCCACTCTGAAGCCAGATCCAGGGTCTCTCAGGGTAGCCTAGATACTAGCGTCTGCGTCACAGCCTCATTGCCCCAGGCCTCAGTACCTAGGGGTTTCACTAACCAGGGCCCTCACCCTAATCAGGAGGTCTCACTACCCCAGGAGTTTTCCAGCCCAAGCCTTATTACTAGGGGATCTTACCACTGCAGGGAAGGCCTCGTTACCTGGAAATCACTCCAGGTCTGTTCCATTTACAGTTCTCAGGATCCTGGCTGGGAACCCCACTGGGGATGTGTTCTGGGTGTATTGCAGTTCTTTCTTTTCCTTTGTGCTTGCCTGAGGCCTTACTTAAGGCAGGGAGATGACCTCAGACCTGGCCAGCGGCCCCAGCGCCAGCAAGGCCACTATGGTCAGCCAGACTCAGACCTAGGACTGAGCCAGCTCTGGGGAAAACCAGAGACTTTGTGCAAGGTTCTGGTTTCCAGGGGGATAAGGGGAATCAATCAGGGCAGACCATGATGACCAAACACAGAAGCCTGTTTTTAACTGCCACGTGGGTACAACGCCCATGCCTGGGGAGTCCTCAATGCCCAGCAAAGCTGCCCTGTCACTTGGAGCTTTCTGAGGAAGAATACAGTGTGGGATGGACACAGTGACTCCCATAAGTGGATGTACTTGGACTGGCAGAACAAAGGGTCCTGAGACTCACAGTCCTTCACACTTTCTCTTTTGCGACGCAGTACTGGCCCTCTCACCTGACGCCCGTGAGATCCTTAAGACAAACGCAAGGCACCACCGTTACAGTGACAAGCCCTAGGAAGACCAAAGGCCCATTATACATGTATCAAATGGTCACAGGACTCTGAATGGATTAGCAAGTTCAGACCCCTTTTAGCCAAGCAAGGTCACGTTAGGACAGGGGCTACTGCCTCAGGCCTCAGATATCTCTAGTGGCCCTTCAGCTCCCAGCCCTTCCACAGGCAGGAAGCTCCCATCTAAAGTTACAGTGGCTATTCTGCTGCTCCCCTTATGGGAGCCATCCTTGGCCAGCACACCCAGCCCTCAGAGCATTTTAGTGCCCAGCTGTGCTATGAGACCTGGCCCCAGCTCCAGAATGAGCTCAGATGGAACAGCGCAATGTTCCCCGGGCCATTGTGCTATGTAACTCTGCTAGCTGTCATGGTGACCAAAGCAGGTTTTTAGTCAAGGGGAAATAAAAAAAAAAGGAGGGGAAGACAGACAAACAGAGAGATTGACAACAATGGGGCTATGGGATAATGGCTCCGTCAGTAACATACTGACCAGGCAAACATGAGGACCTGAGTCCTAATCTATTTTTTTATGTACATCTATGTAAAAAGCTGGCATGCCAACACGAGACTGTAATCCCAGCACTGGGGATAGAGACGGAGGATCCCTGGAGCTTGCTGTGGCAAGCTTACCCAGTCACCAAGCCCCTATAAATGAGAGAACCCGTCTCAAAAATAAGGTAAAGAAGTGACAGAGGACAACAGTCAACAGCGACTTCTGGCATCACTTGCATGAGGGGTGGGCCGGGGTGAGATAAAGGCAGAGACAGAAATGAGTGCAGAAGAGAGCCTGACTGAGGAGATGAGCATCTCAAAAACAAGAGCATCCGCCCCTTGAAGGCCCCTCATCATCCCATCATCGGGGCTGAAGCCTGGCAGCTTTATAACCTGCGTGCCTTCTTGGGGAGGGGACATCCCCCAGGACCCCCACCCCCATCGCTTAGCATCTGTCTCCCACCCACCTTCTAGATGGTGGCTGGAAAGGTGCGGAGGAGTCATCGGGAGTGGCTCTTTGCAGGGAGCACTGAGGAAATCATAGTGGTGAGGTCTGGGGAGATCATAGTGGTGAGGTCTGGGGAGGGGGGCATTTTAGGCAGGTGACCCCCTGGGTTTCAATGTGGCCCTCCAGCAGACCTTCCTCAATGCAAATCATAAAAGAATATCTTCAGCAGAGAGGGGACATGGAAGGCCTCCAGCTGTGGCCGTGGCTTCTTAGAACTCCCGCCACCCTTTGCATGGCCCCTCCCCTCCATATTGGCAGGACTGTCTGGCTTTTCCACTGAAGATGCTATGTGAGTTCCCTGTGGCCACGGCCTTAGTGGCCCGTGACAGCATAAGTCACAGCTTACAGTTCTGTAGATCAATCCTTCCAATCCCGGTGCTGGCAGGGCATAGCATGTCAGGGATTCTCGGGGAGAGTGCTGCCTTGCTGACTTTCTTAGCTTTTGGAGGTTGCCTGTGCCCTTGATTCTCAGGCCCTCCTCCTTCAAGGACGGCAGTGCAGCAGTTGTCTGCGCGTCCGTCTTCTCTGATATCTGCTTTTGTAGCCTTCTGACTCTGTCCTTCCTGTCTCCCGTTTAAGAACTCTTGATTATATTAGGCCCACCCACGTCTCCATCTCTACATCTCCCCACCTCAAGATGTAAACCATGTCTGCAAAGTTCCTTTTGTCATGTAAGGTGACACACTGACTGGGTCCAGACTGGGGAGGATGGCCTGGTGTTGAACAGCCACTCTATATTCCTTCAGAAAATCCCCTGAGCTTTCAGGTAGCTCAGCTGTGAAGTGGGATTAGCATCTGACATACATGTCTTACTTAGGGTTTTATTGCTGTGAAGAGACACCGTGACCACTGTAACTCTTATAAAAGAGAACATTTATTTGAGACCAGCTTACAGTTTCAGAAGTTCAGTCCATTATTACCATAGCGGGAAGCCCGGCAGCATACATGGTGCTGGGGGAGCCGAGAGGTCTACATCTTGATCTGCAAACAGCAGAAGGAGACTGTGTGCCACAGTGGGCATCACTTGAGCATAGGAGACTTCAAAACCCACCCCCCCCCACACACACACACACACACTTGCTCCAACAAGGCCACACCTACTCCAAGTAGGCCACACCTCCTAGTAATGTCACTCCCTATGAGCCAAGCATTCACACACACATGAGTCTATGGGGGCTACTCTTATTCAGACCCACACTACTTCATGCATGTAACATCATCTAATGTACTCTGTTCTTTGTAGTAGAATGCATGAAGAACCAGTCCTGGTGCCCAGCACCTGGTAAATCTAAACTCAATCAATGCAATGTACGTGTGCTCTCAGATGCTCAAGTCTTAGGGGTTTGTCGAAGGGCTCTGAGAGAACAGGAGAATGGGCAAGATATGGTAGAGATGGGAAAGACCACTTGGATTAGTGGGGGAGAGCAGCCAGGATGGAGGAGTCGGAGACAAACTGCCCTGCTGTAGCCATCTGGAAGAGGTAGTGTTTCCAGCATCCAGGAAGGGGTAGAAGAGGTAGTGTTTC